ACCATCCATAACTAAAGCAAAAAGATATGGGCTTAAAGTCAATCCCTGATGTAATCCAACAGAAATAGGAAAATATTTGATCAATCCTCCTTCAGTTCGAACACAAGTTACAACTCTAGCATACATATCTTTATTGACTTGAAGATAGACCTTTCCTCTCAAGAACTCTCCAAAAAATATCTCTTGGAACCTTATAGTAAGCTTTTTCTAACTCAATAAAAATCAAATGTAGATTCTCCTTGTATCTCTGAACTTCTCCATAAAATTACTCAATAAACGTTTTGCTTCCATAGTAGACCTGCCCCGACATAAATCCGAATTGATTATGAGAAATCTTTGTAATACGACTTAACCTATGTTTAATTACCCTCTCCCATAATTTTAAAGTATGACACTTTAACTTAATTCCTCTAAAATTTGCATACTCTTGTGCATCCCCTTTATTTTTAAAAATGGGGACTAAAATACTCTTCCTCCACTCCTCAGACATCTTTTTAGTTTTTAAAATAATATTAAAGAGTTTAGTAGCCAAGAAATTCTAAAATCTCTTAAACATTTCCATATTTCAATTGGAAAATCATCAGGTCCTACAGATTTTCCACCCTTGGTTTTCTTTAAAGCATCCTCAACTTCTTTTTTGCTAATGCGACGGTAAAAAGAAACATTTTATTATTATTAAAAATATTAGGATCACTAAGGTCGATTGTATTTTCGAAAACTTCATTAAATAGTTTATTAAGATAACTCACCCACCTATGTTGAATATATTTTTCTAAGAAAAATACTTTTTAATTTTTATCTTTAGTACACTTTACTTTAATTAAATCTTTACTTTTTTTTTCTCTTTGTTTGGCTAGTTTATACATATATTTTTCATTCTCTTTTGCATCTAATTTATTATAAAGATCTTTAAGAGCAGAATTTTTAGCGTCACTTATTGTTCTTCTAGACTCTCTATGGGCCGTTTGATATTTTTTTCAACTCTCTAAGCTTTTACATATCAACCAATTTTTATAACATCTTATATTTCATCTTTTCTTACATATTATTATTCCATCACTAACTATTTTTATTTATTTCTTTTGATTCTTCAAGTACAACGTACATCTTTTGCTACTTGTTTAATAGCGTTCTTTGCTTTATCCCACATAGCGTTTGCTTCTTTATGAACATCCCAAATTTTGAAATTTTGAATTTTAGTCATAAAATAATTTTATTTGTGTCTTTTAGGTTCTCCCATATAATTCTACGATGATGGACTACGATGATGGATCCTAGTATTATTTATTTTACAACTCTTTATCTTAAAATCAAGAACTAATAAACGATGTTGGATACCTAAATCTTCACTTAGAATGACTTTACAATATTTACAATCTCGACGATCTCTTCTTCTCATAAGAAAATAATCAATTTGTGTTTTATTAGATCCATTCTTATAAGTAATAAGATGCTTATCTATTTTCTTGAATAAATTATTACTAATAACAAAATAATACACTAATGCAAAATTTAAAATAGCTATACATTCTTCATTAGTCACTCCAAAACTGTAGCCACCATGAATATTTCTAAAATCTCCTGCCACTTTACTGACATGTCCATTTAAATCTCTTCCAATAAAAATTCTTTCTTCAAGAGATATCATTTGTATTAGGTATTCAAAGTCATTCCATAATTTATCTATAGATCCTATAGCATAAACACTTATAATATTAAAAATCTTAGTATCAATGATAGTTTTAAGGGCTATAATTCTATCAACAACTCTATTAATTTTTACAACATTATCTTTCAAACTCTCTTCTATGATTACACCTACACCATTTCTAGTACGACTCTTACCAGAATATCAAAGTTTCAAACCTAAGTTATCAATCTCCTTAAAATTTTTCTCCAATCCATTTAGTCTCTTGAATACATAAAATTTTAAGATTTCTATGAATCATAATATCAACTAATTCCATTAATTTACCATTGAGAGTACCTATATTTCAAGATTCTATCCTAACTTTCACATTAATGATTGCACAGACAAAAATAATTTTTAATGAAAAATGAAAAACGAAAATGATTTAGAAACTAAAAACATAAAATTCATCGATCATTGAAAATTTGATAAAATTAAAAACATAAAGTTGCCTTCAAAACTTACAGTCACCAAGAAATTTGAGAAAAAAAATTTGATTCACACAAAAAAAAGGATGCATCAAATTCCAAACTTGACAAAATCATAATCCCACACAAAATCTTTGATATTTGAGTTTGAATTTGAAAAAGGGATGAAATAAAGTGCTTGTTTTGTAAATAGCAAATTCTCAATTGCTATGTATGTAAATGCCCTGTACTAAATAACTAAATAACTGTCTCCATTGCTATGTATGTAAGTGTCCTAAAAATATTAAAATCAAACTCTCACAATCACATGAATGTAAAAATATGGCTTACAGTAACTCAGGAATGTTGACGGAATGGCAAAACTGGAGAAGAGAATTGGAAGCAGTTGTAGAAGCGAAGAGGGCATCTCTCTGCTGGATTTCCCCGCTTCATTGGAGTTCGATCCTAAACTTCAACACAGAATGTTGGACTTCTACACTCGAGGGCTCAGGACAAAGAAGGATTTTGACGTTTACACTCACGAGTCACAATGACTGTCTAAGGAAGTGGAAGAAGATAGGAAGCTCTCGGAATAATGTTCAACCCTAAATTTGCGATATGGCTGCTGCGTGAATGTTAGAGGTCTTTAATACTTAATTTAAGTTTGAGTGACGTCTTAACCGCCTCAAGGTGTAAGCCTCACCTTCACCTGCGAGGCTAACGTTCTGAATTGCTGAAGTAGTGACTCGAATCAAGACACGCCTCGAGGGGGACACCTCGAGCGCTTTTATAGGCTGAAGTAGTGACTCGAATCAAGACACGCCTCGAGCGCTTTTATAAACCATGATCCAGATTGTATATAAACAAGCCTAGTCCTATACAAAGGATGAAGGCCATTAAGGCTAATAATTTTTTGAAATCTCACACTTTAAGAGAAGCTCTTCAAATTGATTGTGGTAAATAATAATTGATTGAAAACTTTGCTTATAATTTATGAGAGACATATTATGATGTGTACTCTGGTGGGATGATAAATACTTTTGCCTTAGTGATCTCTTCATCTTGGCCAAGTTATGATGGGAGGAACTTCTTGTATGTTAACATTCGGAATAATAGCATTCCAATATCATTCATTTGATTTGGTCAAGTTCATCTTGGTAAATCCGACACATTTTTAGTCACTCATTTTATATTGAAGAAATAATTTTTTAATATTAGATTCCCAATCTAAGCGAGCTTCAGGATCATGAAGGTCATTGAATATTTGATTAAATATTTTGCATTCCAATAGAAGCCTTGAAATGAAATTTAATTATACCAAATATTAAAATTCAAACTCTACGTCAAGTGACATGGTTAGTTTATTAGGCCATAAGTTGGTATGTGTCTTTTAAGAAGTATTAATTTGTCTGTTTATAATTTTCTATATTTTTCTAGGTTCTGGTTGCTCCGTATGGTGACTTGGTATCATGCATGGAGATGGCAAAGGTGTGCTTTGTAGTTTGAAATTACCATATCTGATGTTTTTTCCTTACTGTGAATGATTCTTATATTACAAATTCATTGAATGTTATTTCCAATTCAGGTTGCTGATTTAATTGCTTTTGTGGTATCAGCCAACTCCTTTGAAGATGGCTGTGAAACTAGCCCCATTGATTCGTTTGGAATTCAGTGCCTTTCTGTTTTCCGAGCCATTGGCTTACCCAGTACAACTGTCCTAATTCGGGTCAGACATTGTTGATTCACACAACTTCTTTGAATTATATTATTTTGCGCTTAGAGGATTGGTATTTTTCTTCACTACTGTAGGATCTTCCTGGTAGTACGAGAGAGAAACAGGATGCGAAGAAGATTGCTATTTCATGTCTTGGTTCTGAGTTGCCTGAGGATTGTCGTTTTTATCCAGCAGATACGAAGGAAGAATTGCATAAGGTGGTACCACATATTTGTTACTTTCTTAATGGAAAACTTTCCATTCCATTTTGGATCGCTTTTGTTTTTATTTTTTGTTTCTCATTTTTATTTTGTTTTATTTATGTTTTGATTTAAATTAAAGCATATTTGGTTGCATTGACTGTTTTTGAAAACAGTAAAAACACACACAAGCTGTTTTGAATATTTTTAAAAACAAGTTTATTTATTTTTAAAGAGATATAATAAAAGCATGCAAAAAATAAACTAAACAAACACGTTTTATAAATATATATATGTAAAAAAATGAAATTGATGCCAAATGAGCTCTTGGAAAAACATTGCTTAAGAACCACTGGTTTTTTGTTTGTTCAATCTTAACTTTTATTCAAGCTGTTTTATGTACTTTCCCCAATCCTCTTTTGCAGTTCTTGTGGCTTTTCAAGGAGCAACACCTTTCTGTGCCACATTGGCGAAGTCAACGGCCTTACCTTATGTCACAAGAGGTAATATTGGCGTATTAAGTATATGATTAATTACTGACTACTAGTATATTTTGAAAACATTCATCTACGCTGTATGACAATGAACTATCTCTTTTTTTTTTTGTTTTTTTCCTTTCTGATGTAGACTTGTCTTTTTTTTTTTTTCGAGACACTTCAATTTGTTAAACTTAATTTAAAAAAAATTCCATGGTTAAAAATGTTTGATTCTTTGTACAAGTGAGCCTATCCTTAACATTAGATTACATATTTTCTATGCCTGATGTATCCTGATCTATTGTTTCAGAATTGTGTTTGTGCTTCTCAAGCGAATGAGGGTGAGGCTTCAAATGTTAATGCATTTTTTATGTTGATTTTATTTTCCAATTAGTGAGTGCTTTATTTGATTTTAGCACTTCTAATTTTTATAAACCTGTACAAGTGTCCCTGTGGCATCTTTCCTCTTAAGATGTCAATTATTCTGTCTTTTAAGGTTACAATATAAAATTTGTTACTACTCAATTCCATATTCAGCTTTTTGATGCACAAGTTTTGTCATCAAATTGAACATCTTCACTTGGTTGAATTGAAGTTGGATCCTTTGGACATTTGATAGCTCGGTTGGGCAGCATTCTTGTGTGTGTATTAGCCACGAAATAGTGAAATAATTCTACATTCAAGGAGAAATAATCAATGTTTTTGTAAATTTTGTTCTATTTTTTGCTTAAGATTATCGTCATATATTTTTTTCTAGAATAAAGCTTGAACATTCTAATTGGGGACCATTTCAGATGAAGGGATTATTCTTTTTATTATCAAATGTCATCGCCGAAGAAATATAATAGCAGAAATTATAAAAAAAGTTGTTCCGACTATTGTGCAAATATTTTATAATCACGGTTTTATTAACAAAGGCTTTTTAATCTTTATATATGATCTCATTTTTTCCACCACACACTACATTTGTTTTTTTAAAATGTTAGGTTGGTCTGGAGCTTGAAAATAACAAGCCTGGTAAATGTACCTTACTTCTGTCTGGCTATGTTCGAGCTCAGAGTCTTTCAGTGAACCAGCTTGTGAGATGCCTATCCTTATTGTTTTTGTGTAAATTACTCTTTAACTATTTGGCGCTGCTTCACATTTGCATCCTTTTTTTTTCAGGTTCATGTTTCAGGTGCTGGGGATTTTCAGTTTGATAAGATAGATGTTCTCAAGGATCCGGTTCCTTTGAACGAAAGAAAAGGTTCTAATTTGATGGACTCGGATAATTCAAATTGCATAGAGGTATAAATCTACTAACATTCTTAAAGTAGGCTTTTGCTTCAATTTGTTGTCAGGCTCTGCCTATCGAAAAACATAACTAGTATCAAAGTTTCTTAGTGTCTTTTTATATAGTCTATTTGGCAAAGTCATGCTTATGTTTTTTGCTTATCATTGATTATTCAGTAAATTTTCTTCAATCATTATTGCCATTTGCCTTATTCCAAAAAATTGACCACCAATATGAATCTTTTTTCTTTTTGTTTGGTTTCAAGATTCAATCTTTTACCGAATGAAAAAAATGTCAATGGTTCATTGACCCCTTGTAGGGACTCATTTTAGTCCTGAAGTCTACATAGATGTCAATTTAGCCACCAACCTCTTTTAATTTGGGCTAAAATAGGAGACTATTTGTTACGCTGGTGCCTAAGAGAATTTTATCTTTTATTAAACTTAGTCTTTTATCATTATTATTGTTGTTAGTTTAAATAGGACTAATATGTTTAGGTCTAGGGCTATGCATGAGATTGAGTTTTGTATCTTAGGGTTAGGTCTTGGGAGAGATTTCATACCTCCTGATTTGCAGGATTTGGGAGAGATCGTCTACCTCTCAAATTGTAGTTGTTTATTCTTTCTATGTTGTGTTGTTTGTGTTATTGAAGAAATAAATTTATTTTGCCCTAATTTTTGTGTGGAGATCTGTGCCGGTTCCTATCACTATTTTGGTCCATATTAAAAGACTTTAGAGACTAATTTTACATAGATATAAACTCTATTACTAAAATGACATCATATAAATAATTGAGGGATTATTTTAACACTTTATTTTTTACCGAACATGCTTGACTAAATGCATATTTCAAGCTTTGCAAACTGTTAGTACAACGTCCAACGCCGCTTGACCAGCCATGGAAGTTGCCAAAACCAGTGAATTAATTAATCTTCTATTCAACCTCATCCAAGTAGGATGTGGGTATGGTGGCTATTGTTAGGTACCATCACATTGTTCTAGTTGATGCAGGAGATAACCCAACCCACAATAGGGAAAACAAATTTTGTTACTCAAAACTAACAGGGTTACAATCAAGACTCAAAATCGGAAAAAAAAAACAACAACAACAAAACACCAGCATCCCGCTATGGCTGGGTAGGACAAGCCGTGGCTAGTGGTTACAAAGGATTTAGATAGGTGGTGGTTGGCTGGATGGTGTAGGGTGGGATTGTGGTGCTACAGGAAGGTGGGAGATGGATTGCGGCTAAGGCCGTGGGAAGGTTGGCAACACAGTAGGAAGGCTGGAGGGAGGGTGGTGGTACACAACAGGAGGGTACGAGGTGGGTTGCAGTTCAACAAGATAGCTTTGGGAAGGTTGACAACACAACAGGAGGGCAAGAGATGGTCCACAGTTCAACATGATGGATGTAGGATGGTAGGCGACACAGAAGCAGGAAGGAAAGGAGCACAGGTGAGATGGCGGCGAGCAGGTGAGGGGGATAAGGAAGGACACACAATTCCTTGGGATGAGTTATAACCAGAGCACATTCTTTTCATCAGATACGACCCTAGAAAGGAAAAGGGGGATGTCGGAGGCGGTCCTGACAGAAATCTCAAGCAAAAAACTAACGTTAAACAAAGAAAAGAACACATTTTTAATAATAGATATCTAGGAGCACTTGGGCCGAAAACCTTAACCCAAATAATTGGGCTGGGAGGCCCCCTCTCTGAACCATTCCAGCTTTCCTAGTTGGATCGTTCGCCGGTTCATCAGAGCCCTGCGTCACTAGTGGTCATGCATTTGAACATAATTGTCCTTCTTGTCTTTTTGATGCTCAAGGAATTTGGTTCATTTTGTTTGAGCATATCAATATCATAGACCTTCAATTTTAAGGCTTTTCATATTGATTAAATTGTTTATTTACTGGATGCAATTTCCCAACCTTTTTGTGATATTGCATTATGTAGTGAATCAAAGGCATTCTTTAATAGAACACGCATATCTTCATTTATTTTACCTAAGTATCTTCTTGTGCTTTCTTGTTATATTTGCCTAATAGATTATTAGATTGTGATTATATTGCTGGTGTTTGTCAATTAAGCATGCTATATCTATGTGCAATTGTAAATATTTATTAGCATATGATTTTTTCACACAAATACTGTTTTTTCTTTGCAGGTTGTTCTCACATTAAAGCCTGATGCCTTAAAGCAAGAACCGCTGGTTGTTGAGAATATACCAGACCCTCTTGCTGGGGAACAGGTCTGTTTTAAGGCTCCTACTTCATTCATTCATTCCTGATATAATTATAATCAATATTGCTAATTTTGCTCTTAGTATTACGTATTTGTGTTCACTTCATGAATTCTCATTTTTCATTCTTTTGAACCATTTTTTTGAGTATTTTTGAAGTTTTTAAATAATAATATATATATAGTTAACAACTTCTAATTCATTTCTCTTTTTCTGCTTTTTTTTTTTCCCTTCATTATTTTTATGCATTCATTTATCAACAAATCTTGTTAGTACATCTTCTAACCCTTTTTATCGACGCACGAGCCAACCAAATCTATTTTCTTACTTGAATTTGCACCACCTTAGAATGTTGAAAAGGATCAGGACTAGACTATTATTGTTATGAGTGCATTCATATTTCTAACATTATTTTTGATATTCAATCAGACTTGGCCTACGGAAGCAGATATGGCGGAAGCTGATGAAAACAATGAAAGACGAAAATTACGAAGGAAGAAGCTTCCCCCAGGAACATCAGATTATCAGGTTATTATTTTATCTGCCAGTCTTTTTTTTCTTTTTTTTTGATGAGGCTTTGTTGGCTATAATATATGCAGGCTGCGTGGATAGTTGAAGATTCCGATGATGATGTTTCTGAAGGTAGTGTTGAGGAAGGTGATGGTATGGTTTTGGATGGACAAAAATATAATTTTGCACAAGTAGGATCTAATCAATCAGACAGTGAAATTGCACATAATATGGAAAACTTTGATGAAGAAACTGAGGCAGACACTGAAATGGCTGTAAGTTTCTGGGAGAATTGCTTATTACATGATAATGTTGATGTAATATGAATTGATTAATGTCCTTTTTTTCCCCGGTTGCTGTTTATCTTTGTTATGTTGAAAAGGTAAATTTATATTTTTTTAAATGCATGATTTCAAAAGGCCAATTAGCTAACTGCATTGCATGTTACATGTTACCAAATCTAGTAATCCTCGTAATCTTTATGCTATCTTTGTTGGGCTTCTCTTTTTTTTTTTCATCTTGACTAAAACTTTACCGTTATTTTGCTCTGTCATAGCATATGATTATTTCATTTTTCATGGAATGTCATTTTTATGCCAAACTCAACTCATCTTTTGAAAAAATGTGATGAGTTATTTGCTTGGGCCCTCTAATGTACTCTGTACTTTAATTTCTGCTTTGTAGGATGATGCAAATTTGACAAGTGAACAGATAGAGGCCGAGATAAAGAAACTTAAAGATGCATGTGGTTTGGATGAAGGTATTTTTTTTCTTTGTAGTTGAACGTGTTGTGAGAGGAGTTTTGTATCTGTAAGCTTGGTTCTTTGATAATAGTGGAGACAAGTGAAAGGGAATGGCATGATTATACTGAACTAAAATTTCCTTTAGTTATTTTTGATGTTGGTTATGCGGCCTTCTTCAACAGGCCGGTAATTTTTTAGAATTTATTCGTTAGTTATGCTTATAGACGATCCTTTAAAATATGATTGCATCCCTGTCATATCATCTTAACTTTGGATCTCGACATTATTTTCGAGGCCAGGTGACACCATTTTAGAATTTCTAGGTGGTGTTGTAGCTCGGATTTAGTGTGCAGATGTTGTAAAATGGTAAGAGGAGGAGAATATGCAAAATTGGTGGAGTTTTGTAGGCGGTAGAAGCCGATCGGCGGCTTTACGGGTGGCAAACAGCAAGGAAGTAGGTGGCTGGTGACTCCAGCAGTGAATTACGGATGAGGAATCACGGATGAGGAAAGGAGGACGTAGAGGATCTACCAAATGTTCTCTTCAAGATACAGACTCATTACGCGAGGAAGAAGAGGATATAGCTCTCTGAATAGGATAATTTCAGATAAACAAAGCTCTACTATTATCAAATCAAAGCCAAAAGTTTCCAAGACAAGGTTCATCCCCTGTTTAAATACTTCAAAGCAAAAGAAAACCTAATTAATATTCAAAATAGAGCATATAGGGTTCCACAGGCTCAACACAGCTAACAGGCTGGAAAATTCTGTTTCTGGACTCCACGAGATGAAATGCTATCCTAATTCAATCTCATCATTTGTCTTTTTCAGCATTCTGGTCTTCGCATCACCAGGAAATTTAACCATTGTTCCAGGCTTTCCCTCTATTTAATTATCCTTGAATAGATATTAGTAAAATACTCCATTGTAGTTGTTAACATAAGAAAATGCTGTAGTCACTATATAGTTTATTACTATAGTATTTCTTTGTAAGTAAGAATATCCCTTACATTTTCCTTTTATTTTCTCGTTGTTATAAAGGCACCTGTATGATATTAGTGCAAGCTTAAACCTTGCAGTTGTCCCACCACCCCCCACTATTTTTTTTTTCCTCTCTTTCTTATCTTTCTTTCGTCCTTGATTCACCGTCCACAATTTCACCTTTGCAGCTCTCATTCACATACTTGTATGTGCTTGCTTGTGTGGCGCATCACTTGCCTGCTTCTCACATGTGTGCACTTGTTTGCTCACTTTCACATTTACTGCTCTTACTCATGCTCTTGCTTGTTCATGTTTGCTCACCTTTTGCATTGCTTGCCTGCGCATGATTTATTAAATCATTTTGGTATTCTCTTGTATACTTCTTGTTATGTTCATTGATTGTTTTCTCTATTATTCACCAGGAGTTGAAACTCTTAGCTATTATTGATACGACTACCAAATGAATGGTATCAACTATCTGTTACGGTCTTTTACTTTTTAATTTTTCTTGGGATCTCATGAGAAACTTAGGAGCAGCTTGGGATCACTAATCTTCTTAAATTTTTTTTTTCATTTTGTTTTATTTATGTTTTGATTTGAAACAAAATATTCTTGACTATCTGAATAAAGTATGATGCATAGTTCTAATTTATTAATTTCTTGTAGTATTTTTCTGCTTTTTTTTTTCTTTTTTTAATAATTTGAGCTTCATGTGACTCATAATAATGGGAAGGTTGATGCATAGTTCTAATATATTTCCTTTTAATAATTTCTTATAGTATCTCTCTGCTAGTCTTTTGTTTCTTTAATTTGAGCTTCATATGATATTGACTAATTTGTGAATTTCCAGAGTTTCCAGATGAAGTGGATACTCCAATAGATGTCCCAGCTAAAAAGCGTTTTGCAAAGTATAGAGGTCTGAAGTCCTTTAGGACCTCTTCATGGGATCCTCAAGTGAGTTACGTTGTCCTATTACTTTTACTTGATTTTAGCTTCAAATTCTTTATAAACTTTTTTTTCCCTTTTACAGGAATCCTTACCTCCAGAGTATGCAAAAATATTTAATTTTGATAATTTTACTAAAACCCAAAATCATGTCCTTGCTAAAGTTCTAAATGAAGAGCATGTGCGTGGTTCCCTACAAGTTGGTTCATATGTGAGACTTCATGTGAAAGATGTGCCTGTTGATTTAGCATCTAAAGTGTATCACTTGTCCCAAAGCTTTCCAGTTGTAGCTTGTGGCCTTCTACAGCACGAGTCTAAAATGTCGGTTCTTCACTTCAGGTACTTGTATTGACTGGATGGATGGTTCGGAAAACTTATATATGTAGCACACAATTCTTATGTATTTACCTATCTCACACCTAAACGTCCTTATTTACATATAAAACTTTGGTGCTTTAAACTTGTGTATGAAAAAGGTGCATTTCACTTTCAAAAAGTGATAATAGTTTCAAAAAGTGATCAAAAAGTGATAATAGTGTTATTTTTAATGTGATATTAAAGATTTGAGTGCTATTTGTGTAAATATGAAAGTTTAGGCGTGAGATATGTAAATACAGAAGAATTGCGTGCTATATATATAAATTCTCCAATATTTAGCTATAAATTGTATCGCCTCTTTGTTATTCCTTCGAATGGATATTTAATGTTATGCTGTTTGTTTCCTTTTATTTGTTCTGGTTGAAAACATAGCTGCCATCTTCTTCTGAATGTGAGATAGAGGAGTCATCATCACTGTCGTTTCTGGTTTTGCTGAGGGACGTAATTCTGGTTTTTCATAATTGACTCTCATGCACTTTTTTCTAAGATTCTAGGTTCAAGTAGACAATTTAATTGGATTGCACTAATATGTTTTGGGCAATTTTACATGCATAACACACAATTTTTTTGTCTTTTGCATATCTAACGCCTAAATTTTGATATTTACTTTTATGACACTTTGGTGGTATGAACCAATGCATGAAAAGGTGTACTTCACTTTTAAAAAGTTAGTAGTTGTGGTATTTTTGATGTGATATTAAATGTGATATTAAAGATTAGAGTGTTATGTATGTAATTATGAAAGTTTAGGTGTTAGATATGTAAATACATAAGAGTTGTGTGGTATGTGTGTAACTGCCCAGATATTTTGAAGCTTCATATCTTTCTGATCAACGCAGCACTCAAATTTGCTTCTGATAATAATGTTGGAGGAAACATTAGAATTTATTTTCTGTTGTAGTGTCGGCAGACATGCATTTCAAATTTTGAAAACAGTGGCGGAAAATATACAGCTCATGTTCACATAAATTGATGGAACTTGATCCATCTGTTATTCTCATGTTATTAATCTCAATCAACTGTAAGATTGTAATTTATTCTCCGTTCTTCTCCTAGGTGGAGAAAATTGCATCATTTTCTCTTTATATATTCTTATATATATGTTCGTACGTACGTACATAGTTTACATATGTATGTTATGCTCGCGCGTGCGCGTACACGCATATATCATTGTCATTGTCAGTTCATCGTTAGTTTTGATTTATTAAAGTTATCCTAGTTTACTAAAGCTGTGAAGTTTACCCCAATTGGTGAACCCAAATAGATTTGTTGGCCTCCAAACTCAGATATTATCGAAATGTTAAGCTCTTAAATTTATTACTTTGTTTCTGAAGTGTAGTTATGTGCTATTTGAAATGTCTTGGCTTGGCGTTAACCATATTTATTCACACATCGCAGCATTAAAAAACATGATTCCTATGATGACCCCATCAAATCAAAGGAAATCTTCACTTTCCATGTTGGATTTCGCCACTTTATTGCCAGGTTTTTTATTTAACAGCCATTATAATTTTGGCACATTTTACCATTCGAGCTTGGCATGGCTGACCCCCCTTTACTCTTTGACAGACCAATATTTTCTTCTGATAATATCAATTCAGATAAGCACAAGATGGAGAGATTTTTGCTCCCAGGTCGGTTTTCTATTGCCTCCATTTATGCACCCATCTGTTTTCCTCCCATGCCGTTGGTTGTCCTGAAGAACAAGCATGGAGATTCACCGGCTGTTGCCGCTGTGGGTTCATTGAGAAGTGTAGATCCTTACAGGATAATACTAAAGAAAATTATTTTAACTGGGTAAGTTTTTATGACCGTTGTTACTCTCTTTCATATTCGCTGATGAAAAGAAATTAGGAAGATTTACGTGCATGCCACCCTATTCGTATTTAGTTACAAATCTAACTCCTATACTTCAATTTTTACAAACATGTCACCTTGCCCATGCATGAAAAGGTGCAATTCAGTTTTTAAAAGTTAAGATGGTGATATTTTTAATATGATATGCAAGGTTTGGGTTGTGTAAATGTAAAAATTGAAGTTTAGGTGTTGGATATATAGATGCATACGAAAGGTTTAGGTGTTAGACTTTGAATTAGTTTGCTCCAAAGCTGTCTTGGTGCTATTTTCACTTTCTTGTAAAACTCAGTCTGAGTTTTTTATTTTATTTTATTATCACTGCTGCTCCAAACTACACTTAATTTGATGATGTTAGTGTTTTAGGAGGCTTAGGCTTGGAATGAGCCATGATTATTGTCATTTCTAGCTATTTTCTTCTCACTTTTGGAGGATTTACAAAACTGTCGCTCAATTCTTATGTATTTACATATCTAACACCTAAACTTCAATTTTTACATGCATACTTACATATCTAACACCTAAACTTCAATTTTTACATGCATACCACCTTACCTATGCATGAAAATGTGTATTTCACTTCTAAAAGTTAAAATGGGGTATTTTTTATGTGCTATGAAAGATTTGGGTAGTATAGATGTAAAAAAGCAAAGTTTAGATGTTAGATATGCAAATATATAGAAATTGGTTGGTATGTATGTAAATGCCCTTCAAATTTTGTTTTGCTAACAGGCGCTCAGCTTGGTAAACGCGCTTTTCGTTATGATGATTTTCTTTATTTTAGTTCCAGTTGACAAAAGTAATGACTGAATACCTATTTTAATGCTTTAATATAATAAAACCTATTACACAAGTACCCCATGATTCTTATGCATTTATCCATCTAGAACCTAAAGTTTGATATTTATATTTATAACCTCTTGGTATTTAAAGCGTATGCATGAAAAAGTTGTATTTCACTTTTACAAAGTTGGTGATAGTGGTATTTAAGACAGTTATATCAAGGCTTGTGTATGTAAATATGGAAGTTTAGGTGTTAGATAGGTAAATATATAATAATTATGTGATATGTATGTAAATGACCCTTTTTACTTTTTAACTTGTTGTTTGAAGGCTTGAGTATGCAGATATAATGCTTAAATTTGTTTCTCGATTTTTGATGCAGTTATCCCCTAAGGGTTTCGAAGAAGAAAGCTACTGTGCGATATATGTTTCACAACCCTGACGATGTTAGATGGTTCAAGGTAATAATCAAAACTACTGCTTATAATTGTTCTAAATGAGATTCTCTTCATTCTTCTTTAATAAGAAGATTTACATACATACCACTTAATTCCTATATATTTACATATTTAACACCTAAACTTCAATTTTTACATACATACCATCTTTTACCTATTATGGTCTTCGTAGTGAATTGGATTTCTCTCCTTTTTTTCAGCCAGTGGAGCTGTACACTAAATGCGGTCGCCGAGGATTAATAAAAGATTCTGTTGGAACTCATGGTAAAAATGCTTTCACCACTCCTGATTTTTTATGTGATTCTTGCACTAAAATGTTATGTAAATATTGGACTTGAGGATTTAGATATCTAATTACATAAGAATCATGTGGTATATATGTAAATTACCCCTGTTGTTGAGCGTGCTGATTTATACTAATGTTACAATTTTTTCTATTGTTTCACCACGAAGTCAAGTTTGCATACGTACTATTCAATTCTTATGTATTTACACATCTAACGCTTAAACGACAATTTTTACATATTTAAAAGTTAAAATGGTGGTATTTGGGTGCCTAAAATGTAAAAAAGCGATGTTTAGGTGTTAGGACATGTAAATACTGGAGATGAGTGGGTGTTATGTATGTAAATTTTCCTGAAACTTTATATAAATACTAAAATGTTTCTCTCATGCATGTAATCAGGTGCCATGAAATGTCTGTTCAATGGTGTGATTCAGCAGCATGATACTGTATGCATGAGCTTGTACAAGCGTGCATACCCAAAATGGCCCGAGCAGCTCTTTCCCCTGCAGGA